GCTATAAATTATTATATAGTTTTAATAATAAGATTAAAATACTAATAATTCTAATACCTTTCTTTATTTCTTTCTTTCTTAACTTAATATAAGTATTAAACGCTTAATAAAGCTATATAAATAAGCTCTTATTATTAAACGAATATTATAAAGCTTATTAATATTATAAAATAAATTAATTCTTATAAGAACTTAAGACTATAATATTAAGACTTTAATAAAGCTTAAAATTAATTATAAAAGATTATTAAACTTATATAAAGCTAAGAATAATACGAATAAACCTTTACTTTATATAAAGAAGAGAATAATATAAATAAACCTTTATAAGAAATTAAAACTATAAAATTAAGATTATAAAGAAAGCTAGAATTATTTATAAAAGATTACACGAATTATAAGGCGTAAAATAGTTTTAATATAAATAAAATAAGAGAAGAACTTAATACTATAATATTAAGATTATAAAGAAGTTATAAAATAATACTTATACTTTAAAAGACTATAAAAGCTTAAAGAAGGTAATTAAATAAAGGCTAAATATACATAAATAAACGATTTAAACTTTTAATTTTAAGGGAGCTTTAAAATACCTTTTAAATACCTAAAGAGAGATATAAAGAGATTTATTTTTTATAGTTTTTTATAGTTATAAACTTAAATAATTTAAAAGCCTTTAAATAATAGTTAAATACGCTATAATATAGCTTTACTTTATTAAACTTTAAAGAAGTCCTAGAACCTACGCTAAACGCTTAAAGAATAAAGTGGTAATCTCTATTTTTAGAACTATAAACTTAATGAAATTAAAAGAACCTATAAAATAAAGAATAAATAGACTATAATTTCTTTATAATTAAATAAGGTAAAACTACCTTATAATAATTTCTTAGAAAAAGAATATTATAACTTTAATAGTAATAAAACTAAAAAGAATTATAAAATAACTTAAATAACGCTAATTAAATTAAAATAAAAGGAGAATAAGAATAATAAGAGAGGCTTAAATAAACCTTATAATAATAAGAGAATATTATTAGATTTACTAGATATATTTATAAATATTCTAAGCGTAAGAGAGTTAAATAAACTAATTAAAGACACGTTATAATATTTAAGTTAATAGATTTATATAGAAAACCTAAAAATTAAGAGAAACCTCTTATTAAAGTAAAATCCCTATATAAATCTAATATTACTATTTTTAGGGAAAGGTAAACGAGATAGCTCTTCTTATTCTTTAATCTTAAACGAATTTCATATGAAAAGCTAAATTAATTAACGGTAAAATACACTTAAATATAGCGAAGCTTTAATTTATATAGGAAATATAAAATCTAAGATTTATCTCTTAGAAAATAAAAAACCTTATATAAATACGAATTTCTTAGACTTATTAAAAGGTATTAAGTTTAATAGCCTTTATTTTAGGGATTTAAAGAAATTTATTATAGCTTATAACTTGGATCAGACTGATCCCATCTGATCCCCTCACGTGACCTGCGATCCCGTCGGGCCCCATTCTTGTCTGCATGCTAGCGGCCTATAATGCCGGCCAACTGCTTTAGGTACCCTTGGTTCGTAATAAAACGGTAAAGACTAAATAGTTATAATTTATAAACGGGATAAAGTTACGAGCTTTAATTCTTTAAAACTTAAACCCTTATAAGTTATTATTAAATAATTATTAGGTAAAAATAGAATTAGCTTTATATTACCCTTAAACTTATACTATAAAATCTATTAATATTACCTAAAATATTATAGAATATTACCTAGGGATAAGTAACCTAACGTTTAATTATATAAAACTAAAGACTATTTAATGCTAAAGTTTATTATTACTTAAATACCTGTAAAACGAAGAATAAATAGATTATAATTTCTTTATAATTAAACGAGGTAAAACTACCTTATAATAATTCCTTAAGGAAAGAATATTATAACTTTAATAGTAATAAAACTAGAAAGAATTATATAATAACTTAAATAACATTAATTAAATTAAAATAAAAGGAGAATAAGAATAGTAAGAGAGACTTAAATAAACCTTATAATAATAAGAGAACGTTATTAGATCTACTAAATATATTTACGAATATTCTAAGCGCGAGAGAGTTAAACGAATTAATTAAAGATATATTATAACATTTAGGTTAGTAGATTTATATAGGAAAACCAAAAATTAAGGGGGACCCCTTACTAAAGTAAAATCCCTATATAAATCTAATATTACTATTCCTAGGGAAAGGTAAACGGGATAGCCCTCTCTATTTTTTAACCTTAAATAAATTTTATACGAAGGCCTAGATTAATTAATAGTAGGATACACCCGAATATAGTAAAGCTTTAATTTATATAAGAAATACGAAATTTAAGGTCTACCTCTTAGAAAATAAAAAACCCTATATAAATACGAATTTCTTAGACTTACTAAAAGGTATTAAATCTAATAGCCTTTATTTTAGGGACTTAAAGGAATTTATTATAGCTTATAACCTTAACTTTCGTTTAAATATAATAAGATATAGCTAGGCTTTAATTTATATAGGTAAAAAACTTAAAGTTAAAAAAATAACTATTATAAGTAATTATACTAGTAATTATTCGCGAGAATTACTTAAACTTAATAATTATAAATTAAACGCGAATTAATTAGAATTAAACTTAAAATAAAGATTACTAAAATAGAATGTTACTTAATATAACCTAAATAACTCTTACGATTAAACGGTAAAGATTAAATAATTATAATTTCCAAATAAAATAAAGTTATAAGCCTTAATTCTTTAAAACTTAAACCCTTATAAGTTATTAATAAATAATTATTAGGTAAAAATAAAATTAGCTTTATATTACCCTTAAACTTATACTATAAAACCTATTAATACTACTTAAAATATTACTTAAAGATAAGTAATTTAACGTTTAATTATATAAATAATTAAAGTTATTAAGGTTTAATTACTAGAATTTAATTAATTAAAACCTAAAATAAGTAAAGCTTAAAGAGAGTAATATATAATAGATTTTAAAAGAGAGCTTAATATAATATTAAGATTAATATTAGTTTTTCTCTCCCTTAACCTATTATAAAGAAAAGTAAATTAAGTTACGTTATATAGTAAAATAAGAGATAATATTACTAGAAACACTTTAGGTAAAAATGAGGAAGAAGAACAGCAATTAATATAACTAATGCCCCAAATTATCATACAGGGCGCAAAATTGGGGGTCCAACTGTCGTCGCTGGACCCTTCAATGTTGAATCCACTTTTACGTCACTTGAGCAACTGTCGGAATCTTTGGATGTCAAAAACAAGAAAAAAATTCAGTTGAACTTCATCTCGACTCAGTCGCGTCTAAAAACAGACAACTTCTATCCAAACTAGCCATTCCGATTGGGACACGGCATATGAAGCAGGTCGTTTCACTCGGTTGGATTTTTGGATTGTTCTAAAAATACCTCGACACCACTTAATGTCCAGTTCGACGTTTCAGAAAACCTTGAAACACAGCTCCCAGCCCTTCAGTGCTCCTTTCAACAATGTCAGTCTGCAAGATTTGCAACGAGCCGCTCGTTCTCAGGCTGGATGACGATGCGGACTATGACGACACTGAAACCGCAGAGACTGTTCCCGATGATTTGGAGCTCGGCTGCGGATGCCACTTCCACTGGTGAGCCCGCGCATCATCCCGAATGATTTTGTTTTACAACATGGCTGACCTTGGGGTGGTAGGGAATGCCTTATGGAGGAAGCGTCTGCAGTAGCTCTATCTCTGAAATGCCCCAGCTGTGACAGATATCTGCCGAGAAACGAGGCCGGCGCCTCTTCAACGAATCAGTTCCGCGAGGCTTCGTCTGCCGTTATCCTGGCCCAGTACAGCAATGAGGGCGGCGTCCAAAAGGACCTTGACATCATGGGTTCAATCACCGAAGAAGCCTATATTCAGGCTCATCCGGAGGCGCGCCCTGCGAGGGCATTCCATGTCATGTGCTCTGAGGGGGACATTGCCGGCGTCATCGACTTATTGAGAGACGCGAGTGACCAAGGCGCGGATGTTGGAAGCATCATTCGCTATCAGGATCCTTTGGCAGGAATGAAGAGCGGACTCCATTTGGCTGTTGAGAATAAGCAGGACGAGATTGTGTGGACGTTATTGTGGCTGTCGTCTACGCTTTCTTCGGATGCTTTCCCTCCCCTGGTCCGGCAGATGGCTGAGGGTGTCGGACTGGGACGCATCAATGTGGATGCCGATGGGGATGTACGCTGCCTGAGGGATTCCCAGGGCCGGGTGGTGGAGACTATTGCCCAGCAGAATCCGGAGGCGTGGTCGGCGTTGCTTGATATAGGTGTTTTGAGTCCTTGAGTGATGGCTATAGAGCATATACGAGAATTGTCACGAATAATGGAACCAAGACTATAGTTGAGGAAGCTGGTGAATGGAGGGACATATGGGCTGGGGAAGTTGAGAGGCTGGCGGGCGGCCAGCAAAGCAGAGGTGGCCAACACGCAGCTATCTGGTTCTTATTGACGACAAAGGAAATGACGGGCAATAGTGAAAACGGATATACAATGTGGCGTCAAGAATGGGGGTGAGGCACGGAGCAAAAATAGCGTTTGGAGGCTGACGTGGAAGATGCAAGCCAGAGTGGAGGCGCCTTGTTTGTATCTCTGAAACAGTGCAGAGGTCAGATAAGCAATTAGTCAAGGTAAAAAGCATATTCAAGACCCGTTCTGAAGACTCCAAGGGGGGCAAGCATAGTGCCACGACGTCTCGAGAGCGTTGTGATGAGCTTATGTGTAGATATTAGCCAAAAGATCCACTATGCTTCTTGTAAAGTTCATTTGCCGGTTTTGAACTGAAAAAAAATGTTGGCCTGTAACGGCTCGTTTAGAGCTGAGGCGAGTGGTATAATTTGTGGCTCAGAAGGAGAGATTTGGCTTGGATGGGTTCAACCAGTCAATGACTGCAGAACTGGCACTATCCCCTACGTTGTCCGAAAGCTTATAGATGGTACAACCGAGCGTGTACCCAGTGAAGCATGTGAGAGGGTCTGGTTGATGTGTTTAGCGAGAGAATTCGCGAGCAGATAGCTAAGAAGCCCGAACTTGGCCTAGACGACAGGGATTGAGAGCTAATATTCTTGTACCCAGACCAAGCTGTACACAACGGTAGAGGTATTGTGGTTGAGCCGAGTATCCGAGCACCTGCTAGTTTCGGCGGAGGGTCCTGGGCCTCGCCAACTGCCATTGGCCGATAACTTGGTTCGTTTAGACCAGCCCTACGTGGGCAGTTACAAAACTTTAAGAGCCAAAGAACGCGGGTCATGATCGTTTGGCATTCCGTTTTACTCGAGCTAAGAAGGGAGCCAGCACAAAGTGAAGATGGCACAATGCCGGGCTCGCGCCGTTGGCCCTACCACCGGCATATAGTTGCCCAAGGCGTCGACTCTCCGCGGATTTGCACATGTTACCACAAAATTGGGCCCTCATATCCAAGCAGTGCTCTACCTTTTACCAGTCCGTATAGAACCAGTCCGTATAGACTTGTGTCGAGTTGACATGAATATGCTGAATGAGCTCACTGATAAATGTGATTCCTCGACAGCCAAGTACTGATTACCTGCCAGGGCGGAATTTTGGGTATTGCTACGCTGCCCGAGTTGGAAGGTGGGATTAGCCTCTTTGGCGATGTTGCTCTCAAAGCCTCGTTTGTTGTCTACGATGACGGCAAGAAACGCCTTGGCTGGGCTAAGGGCGCTTAAAGAAGACTATTTACAGAGGTTGTCAGGAGGGGGGGTTGTGAATTCAGGAAATAATAATAGCTGTTGTACTTCGTGGGGGCTGGTATTTGAGCAGGGATTCGGTTTCGTACTATTCTACGCGCCAGGGGCAAAGTTTAAGAATTGATAGTTGCCTGACTTTACAAGGGATAATTCATTGTCGTGCTACGCAGTGGCAAGGGCAGCTTCTGCCCTGCAAAACGTCTGTTTGCGCCTCGATTTTGGCGTCGAACCTGATTCCCTCGCATGGTTACGGCTGGTAGCAGCACATATGGAGTATAATGAAAAGATTATAAAATATAATATAAATGTAATAACATTTTTAAAACCTATCATCACCTTAATACAGGCAAGACACACCACTTACATGCAATGCACGACCAATTAGACTGCTCAGGCGATGCAAGTGGACCCACTCGCCGTTTTTGGATGTCCTAGATGCAAAGCACATGCCAACTCGAAAAGCAGGTACCGGCCCAGTGACGTCGTCCAACCGGCCACTCAGGACATGACTTGTATGCTTTATTACAAGCTTCTTTACCGCCTTTCGACCTCGGAATAAACTCAAATCGCCCAACACTCCCCATCATCCGAGTCTGCGTGCGTATCGGTCATTCTCTCACAGCCCCGGCCGGACCCGTTCTTGGGCAGCAAGATTCACCACGTTGGCGCTACGCATTGGAGCCAGGTGCGCCTTGCGCTCGCACTATCAGCACCAACCCGCTCTTGGTTTTCCTCTTGTTGCTCCGAAAACCTTACAAGCCGTCGCATGGCTGTCCTTTGGAGCCCGCCCGCCGAAAATGTCTCCCGGAACCGGCGATAAGAAACCCGAAAAGTCCTACTTGAGCTCTGCGGTCGACGTCATCTATCCGTGGTCGAGTAGTCGCACGGCGACGCCAACGCCGGATAACAAAAAGGGCGGAGGGAATACAGCCGCGACTGATGGGACCACTACGCCCAAGGCAGCAGCCTCGGCCGATCATGCAATAACGCCATTTTATGGACAGAGCTTCCGGACGTATCCCAAGGATTGCCCGCCGCTAAATGTGCAATGGTTTCATGCGGCCGATGTGGGTATGCGAATGCCAGGATGAAGTCTCCGGGCTGACCCTGTGATTCAGGTGCCGAAACGGAAACCGAAGCTGATCAAGGGACCGAAAAAGGAGGATAAGGAAGCGAAGCCGCCTGTTCGACCCAAGAAGTTTACCGCGTTCTCAGAGTCTGACTCGCGGAGGACGGAAGCACGCTACCAAAAGCTTTTGGAGGTGGCAGAGGATAAACATGGTGCTCTCAGAGACACTCAAAATAGGCCTTCAAAACGACCCAAGTCCGATGAATCTGGCACCCTTGACGACTCATATCGGGGCCATACCCGGGTTGCTGTCAACGAGGACTACCTATTTGATCTTGACATTGAGGAGAGGGAACTTGCGCCGGTGTATTGGTTAGGGCCAATTTATGAAGGTTGGAAACCTGTTGAGCTTGCGGTGTGAAACAATCGTGCTGACGATTATGGCTAGTACGACGTGGCACTTGGTTCTTTCAGGAGGGCTCGGGTCTGAGACCCTGCGAAGAGAACCTTGCAGCTCAGCTAGAAGAGGTAGGTGCTCACGCTAATCGGAGGTCGAGTGGCGTGTGTCCTAATCTAAAAGCAGGGCTACTTGAAAACGAAACCGTGGCTGCTTCCTGGTATGCAGTAGGCAAAGGTATTGGTTACTGAATCATGCTGACGGTAATCACAGGTCGAGCCCGAAGCAAGTCTGAAGTAAAGGACTATACAGGTTCTGCCAAAGCGGATAAACCTCACGCAGCGGCGGACCAGAAGGCCTCGACGGCTACAGCTAGCGTACAAAAGCCACCGGCGGGTACCACTCAGGCGCCGCAACCACAATTACCGACATATCGTCTATTTGGTGCTTATATGAACAATGTCGCTACATATGAGGACGAAAAAACCGCTTGGATGACTACTGATGGCATGCTCTCATGGGTAGCTGCCTCGGTGTATGAACGATTCGCTGGTGGTGGGTACATGAGCGGTGTCAAATTGATTAGAGGGTATTCCGAGCCTAAAAGAACCAAGGAAAAGGAGGAGACGAAACCTGTGACAGAAAATCCCGATATTCCGGGCCTAGACGAACGACAGCAGAAACTGCTGAAGAGAAGATCAGCTCCTCCCACCACACGAGATTCGTCGGAGGACTTGGGATATAGCCAAGTTGTAAAGAAGGAGACCCAGGAACGGGAGGCAGAGCTGCAGCGGCAATTGTCTTCCCTCATTGAGAGCGAAGGGCGTACTGCCGAAGAAACCGAGGAACAACTCAGAAAACGCGACGAGCAGGAAATAGAAGACGACTACAATGCACAGGATGGAGAGTCTCAGGGCCGTGAAATTGAGCATTTAGTTCTTGTAACTCATGGAATCGGACAAAGACTAGGTTTGCGGTATGTTGCCTGCTGAGTTGCATGTTTGTGTGGCACGCTAATCTTTACTGCCCAATAGCATGGAAAGCTTAAACTTTGTTCACGACGTAAACGTCTTGCGCAAGACTATCAAGTCTGTCTACAGCAACTCGGCAGACTTGAAGGCACTCAACTCTGAGCTTGGTACTGGGCCCGGGAACTGCAGAGTGCAAGTTCTTCCAGTTTGCTGGAGACACTTGATTGAATTTCCCAGGCAACAGCAGAAAAGAGCCGAGCATGATCTAGGCGATGCTACGGATGAGGATGATAGCTGTGAGACTTCCGATTGTACGCTGTTGCGGGATGGTATACTAATTACCAACCAGACCCTTCACTCGAAGATATAACTGTGGAAGGAGTTGCCTTTGCCAGATCCCTAATTTCGGACCTCGCGCTCGACGTTTTACTCTATCAAAGCTCATACAGAGAAGAGATTTCCAGGGTTGTTGTGGCAGAGACTAATCGTATTCTGAACCTCTTCCGAGAGAGAAACCCAGAGTTTAAAGGAAAAGTGCACCTCATGGGCCACTCGTTAGGATCTGCCATCTTCTTTGACGTTCTCTGCCGTCAGAGGGAGAGGCATCCTGACGAAACTCGACACCCGCTTCGATTCTGGCCCTCGCACAACCGACCCGAAATCAGGCCAAAGGACCAAGAGCTGGAGTTCAATTTCGACACGTCTGATTTCTTTTGCCTCGGGTCTCCTGTTGGCTTATTTCAAATGCTCAAGGGAAGGTAGGTCGTACGGCTTGTTCTCTTGTTCCCAAGAGATGCTGGACTGGCACTAACGGATGCCAGGACTATTGGTGGCCGTCATTCGCCACACAGCTTGCCCTCAGAAAGCCCGCTGAATCCCGAATACACTGGTGATCCGTTCTTGACAGCCCCTGCTGGTACAGGCATGGATGGCATTTCTCCAATCAGTGGTCTGCCCATGTCGGTGTCGTCGCCCAAAGCCGAGCAGCTCTTCAACATCTTCCATCCATCTGATCCCATTAGCTACAGACTGGAGCCGCTGATTTCCCCTGCCATGGCGTCACTGAAACCACAAGCGCTTCCGTACACCAAGAAGGGAATTTTTGGCAATGTCGCGCCACAAGGATTAACAGGCATCGGGGCCAAAGTCGGCCAGAGTGTCAGCGACCTGTGGTCGAGTTTAAGCGCCGGCATTGCCAGCAACATACTCAACCGCAGTCTTGGCATCACCAACGAGGAGGTTGCGCGTTTTGCTGCGGAGGATCACCACGGGGACCAGAAGGGTGAGGCGACTGGCAGTCAAGAGGCGGCGGAACTGTCGGATGAAAGAAAGAGGCAGCTGGCAGAAGCGGCGGCTAGAGGACGTCGTGTGAGCGACAACGGTAACTCGGTGACGCTCATTGACGATGAGCTGGAGACGCTGTATTCGACGTTCCAGAAACGGCACGACACGGTGCACCCGAACGAGGAGATGGTCCATGTCAACGATGAGTCGCGCAAAGCTCGGAAGCTGCGGGTAGAGGAGGCCAAGGTGCGGGCGCTGAACAGAAACGGCCGTGTTGACTACAGCATTCAGGAGTAGGTGTTGCCCGTCGATGGCGTCCAAACGAGTATCGTGCTAACGCCCATGTAGAAGCGCCTTGGACTTTAATCCCATCAACACGATTGCGTCGCACATGAGCTATTGGGCGGATGAGGATGTCACTCACTTTGTTTTGTCGCAGCTTCTGTCTGGGAAACGGGTGGATAAAGGTGCTAAATAAACGATGAACTAGGTATCTGGTCGGGGTCACGATTGGTTACGTCTTGGGAATTGGTTTCATGCGCTCATGTATATACTGACTCGAATCGGTTGAATTTGACGCTTTGGTATAGATTTGGCTATAGTAGATGGAGCTGAGAGTCTGACACTGCTTGTATAGTTGGATTGGTGGAAAAACATGTGGCATAACAAACTCTTGGCTCGAGTTCAGGATGCACTCGTCGTGCACGAGATTAGCTCGTTGAACGGCTCGATGCTGTTCTTCTCCGCCTCGGACTACCAGGAGATGCGTAAATACGACAGTCGATTCGACCGAGACGCCTTTCGCCTTGTTGGCATCCGCATGATAGCTAGGATAGACGCTTGAAGGGGACTCGTTTCGTCTCTGATGCATCACGTAGAGGGCAGGGCAAGATTGCAGAGCACCCTTTGGCTCAGCGTGCGTGTATGTGAATATCTCTACTAACATGTTGACGAAGCGTTTTCCAGCCCGAGTTCTCCCCGTACATGGTGCGCAAGGGCCAACGTGCGTCGTCTGATGCGTAGTGGCAATCCCGGTTGCCGAAACAGCGTTGGTTCTTTGCCGGCTACGGGGGCATGTTTGCTTGCGCGCTCGCCACAGCGAGGACGGCCATGTTTTGAAGCTGAAAAGGCCTGTCGAGGTAGCCATTTTGATATGAGGCAGCAGCATGATGCTTGGTGGTCCCAGCGAAGCACCGAGGAGGAAGAGGTGTATTGGTATGTATATAGCCACCTCCAGTAGGGGACTCAACTAGTCCTATACGTCATTGTTGCTGAATCGACTGACTCTGAGCCCTTGCCACGGCGTTGAATCAAGTGGTGTGCCTGCCACAGCGTTGCAAGTTGCTGGAGGGACCTGGGGTGGTATAACTTGTTCGTTCATCTCCATCTCTGCTGCACCCGTCACAAAGTCTCGGCGCTTGGGCCGAAATTCCATGTACATGGGACCAACGTATATATTGCTACAGCAATGTGCACGCATTGGTCGCTGTGTATTGAATCGAGAGGTTGCAGTTGTGAATGGGCTCAGGACCCTATTACAAGACTTGTTGTAACTTGGCATCTTGGTTGATGCTTGCTTTTGCCGTATCTAAAGTTTCATCCTTTGCATTTTATTTTTATTTTTATTATTTTGTAGCAATTGAACTATTTGAGACCACTTGTTTCAGAAGCCAATAACTCTCGCTGGCATGAACGGCATCTCGAGTCGACAAGTGTTACACGGAGGTTACGTAGCATTGCAGGCACGGGCCGTTCCTTCAACTTGACGATAGTTGTACAGGAGCTCGAGACCTACCTAGGTAGTTAAGGCCTAGGTTCGCTTGCTTACCACCGCTTCATATAAGTAAGAGTTACTTGCCCTTAAAAGCCTCAAGGAAACTAAGACCTTTTATATTAAAGCGAATGATTAGCTGACGAACATTGTTCCGAGCCCTTATATATAAGCCCTCGTCAGGGTCAAGTTGACTAGTTTCGCCATACAAGCCAAGCCTCTAATTTGAATCGTCCTTTTTAAGAAGGATAAAGTTGCATGGACTGATGAGAGGATTACATTGTTACCATTGGGGTCCATCGCCTCGCATACCGAAAGCTTATATAAGGTGGTCCATGTGTCAACGAGTTACCGGTTAGATTGTTACAGCTCGAAAGCCCACGGTTCATCCGACGGATTTAATTAAACTAGAGCGTCTGATTGACCAGGCCTGGAGTCCAGCTAGCGACTCCGAACCCGGGCTTCCCAGTCATGTACCCGTTGCAACAAGCCGAAATAGAACCCGGCATGTCTATCTATTGAGTTGGTGCTGGACCTTGGCTCTTAGTGGGCAGGAGTTTGTTGCAAGCGGCTTCATTCTTTCCCTCCTTGCAGTTCTTCTCGCCATCGTCGACAATCTTTTCCTCGTTCTTCCTCACCTCCTCCTCAAAGGCCTTCCCTCTCTTCCTTCCTCTTCTCCTCCGCATCCCTATCTACAGCAGCCTCCTTGTTGGCCTCGCGCGCAGCATCCGCCTCAGCCTTCACTTTAGCCCTCTGCGCCTCGGCACCCTTGTGCTTGGTCTTTCCACGCTGGGCACCTTTCTGGAACTCTTCCCCTTCCTTCTGGCTGGGGAAGCCCGTAGGGATAGGCTCTTGGACGTATCATCTTCCTTACAGGCGTCATTGCTTCCGGCATCAATATCGGCCCGTTTGTCAAATTGGACGGGATAGCCGGTTACAGCCTCCTGAGCGAGCTGACTGACGTCTCTCGTCAGACGTCCAAGCTGCTCTCTCGGCTGGCTTGGGCGGCCTGCAGACCTTGGGCAGCCAGGGCAACTGTGCTACCGAGTTAGCTGGGTACGTTGGAAGCATATCACGTCAGTACTGAGAAGAGATGATGAAGTTGAAGCCTTCCATGTTAACGGTAGTGTGTTGGTGTTCTGCTGTTACTTTTCTTAAAAAAAAGAAAAAAGAGCCTCAATGGCTCCCTTATATAGAGCTCGAATACCCAAATCGCTTCTAACCTCTGGCATAAACTTCGAGTTTTGCTGAGTGGGGATACTTTCTCACAGGAAGCAGCGCATCACGGCAGTTGTCCGCTGCTGAGTGGTCATGATAATCGCATGTGTGTTTTGTCTGATCGATAAATCATGCGAACAATCATCCGTGAATCTGCTTCTGTCAAAAAGAGATGTGTTGGAGGACAAGTCGATCGTGTGTGGGGGCTTCTTGACCTTGCCGACCAACTTTGAAACAAGGTTGAATATACCGAGTAATGCAGGCCGCAGGGCTATCCCAGATCGAAGAGAAGGCGCCTGGTATTCTGTTCCAGAAAGAGCGGTTGAGTCAAGCGAGTGAAGCGGAATGTCGGCGACCTCTTTACACATTCTAGCAATTCGATTGTTTTGCCGTCTCACCTATACGATTACGAATATGCGTAGTGGCATAATAGTCATCGTGGACCCAAGGCATTCCCTGTTATACGCCTTGTTGCAAAAAAGAAAAAAAAAAGAGTTATAGATAGGAATAGGCCCAGCGGCTGAGCCAAAGTACGGTTACAAACCATAGACACCAAGAGGCCGCGACGGCACCGCCACGGTGTCTCCGCGATCGACCAGGTCCTCTGGTATGTCGTTGTGACAGCATTGAAGGTAAATAAATGCTCAGTGGAGCGTGACGAGACCAAAGGCATATGACTGGTGCAGTCCGAAACGGGTTTCTGGACCGTCTTTCGGGACAAGGCAGATTTTGAGCAAGCTATTCTGTTCCCTGCCGACTACCATGCCCCCGATCTTATACAATATCTTGAATCAGAACTTGGAGTTGACTGATGACTCTTTGAGCCATCAAATAGCCGCAGCTGCGATGAAATGGACCATCTTCGTGGCCGATTCGGCTGCCTTTGTTTCCCAGCTACGCGGCAAGCTTGAAACTTTGCGTGTCGAATCTGAACGCAAATCTACGATGCCGTCTCGGGGTGAATTGACGCATGGGGCGCCATGTTCTCATCAACCCATCAGGCTCTGGCTCTGCTTTCTCTTTATCATGGTGTAATTAGCAGTTCCTAGGCAAGTCGACAACGGAAAGTGTTTTACTCGTTGAATAGAAAAGAGTACAAATACTCTTGTTTTTGGCCGACATGGACAACGCAGCTGCCAGCAAAGGGCGCAGCAACTCACGGTGCTTCTGAGTCAGTTGTATTGACTCAGGCATCCGCGTGCATGCCTCCAGCCGTAACGCCTGACTGGTCGTTGATTTGGTGTAAAGAGAGAGAAGAGGTCGAAGCAAAAAAAGTATATTCGGGAAAAAAAGAAAGAAAAAAAAATGTTTAGCTTCTCTTTGATTGAGCGTGTCATCCTTAGTGCAGGGGCCATGCTAATCTTCTCTGTGCGGATGTTAGTAGCGGGTTTCGAACGAGGGGAATTGGCGGCTGGAAAATGTGGGCACTGACCTGTATCGTTTCAAATAAACCAAATGCCCGAAGGCAAACGAAAAAGCATTATTTAGCATTATATAGTCATATTTTGTGGGCCGCTTGGCCGGAACGGCAGTGTCGCACAGTACATGGAGGATAAAACACTCATGAGATACGCGGCGTGGCCACAAAATTTGTTTTATATTTTATTATGTAATACGTAGCAACTAAAGGAATAGAAGCGAGGCATACTAGACAAGGGCCGAGAGGAAGAGGTGGTGGGAGCCACGGGGAATTCGCAAATCATGTACAGTACGCGTGAGGGGCTGGACTACTAAATTTTTTTTCCGTTTTTTTAATATATGGATTTTTTATAATTGTCCATCTGAAACCGAGGAAGAAATAAGGAACGCCTGCTTTAGGTTGCGTGTCTCAGTTCCTTAGTGGTAGCTTGGGCGAAATTACTTACACCAGACTTCTCTGGTACCGAAGCAACTCAAAGTCCGACGCGGGCCGAAAAGATCTTTGGCACAGCTCGTGATAGCTTTCACGTCATAACGGGGCGCAATACTGAAGTACCCAGAGCACTAACGGTGAAGCTGTCACTACTTGCACAAGCAATAACAGAAGCACTGGGGGTCGATTTGGAAGCTCAACGTCTCCCTAAGTTCTCACTTTTTATAACTCCATTTGCCTCCTCTTCGTTATCTTTTTGACGACTGTAGCTAAAAGAACCCTGTTCTCAGCGAGGCCTTGATATAGGGGTAGGTAAAGTGGCGAGGGCGGACAGACGGGGATATTCGCCCCCTTGATCGGAGCTGTCGGAAGGCCTGCGGCAGTCACCACAATGTGCTTTTTATCATCAAGGGCTTGAATATTGCATCATCGAATATATCCTAGTAAGAATTCTGCCTCGAGCTAATTTGATACATGATGGTAAGGCGCACATCTCAATTTGGAGGCCAAGAAGAGGCAGGGGTAGGGTCAGATCCTGTTGTTTGCCAGCATGCCACGTTTCATCACGTAAATCGTAGGCCAAGCTCCGCTTCCCCTAACCATTTAGCTGATTATGATGATGCAGCCGGCATGTGAGGAGAGGCGCTCCGGGCTAATAAAATTGTACGGGGTTGTAATATCGGTTACATCGATGTCATGCGGAATATGAAAATCTACTTACTCATGACATGAGGCTTTAAATTGAAAAGTCCATTTATAGGCTTGACTAATACCTCAGAATCCTGGAATATACCGTCTTCAGCTCCGCCGTAAATGCTTTCCGCTAGTGCACTTGGGAAGCATCTCGCTGCTTCTCCCGAATCAGCCGTCAGCCCATTCAGTCCTCCCTGGCCCTACAGCCCTGCAGTAATCAAGTCTTAAAATAGGTGTGAGGGAGAAATAGCCTCATCAATGTGGGATAATTCCCTCGCCTGTCCAGGCGAAGCTTGATCTACTAGACACAGCCTCATACCGAGCTTGGTAAGGGATGTCGCCACGGCTACCAAGTTGGACCATCAAGCTACGAAAAAGGACGTTCTATTAATAACGCTTGAAAATGTACACCGCTAATACTTGGCTCTAGTATGCCCGTTGGGCGCTTTTTGGTTTCAGACAGGTGCCACCCCAAAAGATAAGCTTTGTAACCGTCAAGCATGGACTGATTATCGGCATTGCAGCTTCTGTACGGCGCAAGGTTATTCTCATTTTGACACAAGATGCGTCTTATTAGATCAAGATGTGAAATAGCTGTTCTTGGAAGAGAAATTTCATCGACCCATGGGTCTCCCCCTGCACGTAATCGTTTAATGCTAGCCACAACGTGTTGATACTTACGAAATCAAAACCGCCACTTATCATGCATTCCTAGCCGGCGTCGGGGAATGATATCCCATCTTTAGGAGACTAATTACAATGTGGCATTACTTTTCAGGCATGCGCGATCATGTAGCTTGAAAATGACGAGTTTGACATCCTGAACGGCACGCTACCAAGTACCGTTGGATAGCCGGTACAACCACTTCAGCTTCATCAACTAACAGAGTAAAGAAATCTGAAGGATAATTTACGATTCTCATGATATGGACTATGGACTATGGGAGCATTAGCAGATACGTTTCCAGTTATAAATCAGACTGGTGAGCTCAAGGCACATCCCCGTACAATATTGAAACTAATACCCGTACGGATGCATTAAGAACGGCCGGAACTAGTGAACCTATGCTAGTACGTGATTTGGCCAGCCAATTGAGCCAAGTTTCACTTTTTTTGGGTCTCCAGAGTATGCATATGGTCTTTTTTCAGCCTCAACAACATGAGCGGTGTCACATCGTCTCACACAGCCACGCGAGCGCCAAGTCGGAAAAGTCTCCAAGGAAATCCACTTTCTTCAACCCCAACCTCTTTATGGACACAGGACCCTCATGGTGCGATGGCGCAGGTTTTTATTCGCGCATCATAGGACGGTTGTGGCGTGGAGGCAAGAGTTGACCGACAAAGATAGGAATGGCCCAGCGACGTGGATATCCTGCTGCGCCAGTTCAATAGGGCCACTCAATCATGAAAATACGAGGGATATGTGTATTTGTACAGACTTGAGCTGTTACTAATGAGAAGACGAGATGGAGAAGAGTTTGGACTATATCGTGTAGCCGTGTTCCCGTTAATCAAGGCGAAACATGCCATCCTGTCCAAGGCCACCGAAAGGGTTCCCGATTTCCGGTATGAATTAGCCACCGCATACATCGAACGAACACGACAATGCGCAGCATTGTCGTGGTGCTATATTTGGAAAAAAAAATCAAAAGCTTGTTAGTAAACTCCACTACTTGCCATAGCCCGTTGCTAACACAGATCCATCGACGTGGCAATGCAATCGCGCAGGGCAGCTGGGGTACCCAGACTGGAGTCAAGCCTCGCGAATACCCGTCCATCCCTTGATGTGATGTCACTTCAATCTCGCGCGTGAAACGGCCAATGTCTATATGGCGTGAGGCGCTATAAGGAGCCCCGACTAAGTTTACAGACACACACATCGAGTCATGACCTCCCCCAGGATGGCACAGCCTGATCTTTTTCAAGACCATTGCGGCTCCATTAAACCGGGAACTAGTTCCCATGAGGCAGAATTCATCATTTGCAGTAGACTTTCAGCCTTGCGCCGCATCTTGCATGAATGTCCCTTGCGTAACGGGAATAGCGCCATGATAAGGGAACTTCTGGGTAGATTCAGACGACTGGGGCAGTAGTGATTTGCAAACTGGACAAAGGTCTATATGAAGGACGCCAAGTATTTGATTTTTCTGTCCTCAAGTTGCTGGTCTACTTTGTCAAGCATCGAACACCCCGACATAGACTTGACATTCTTTTACTCTAGCAAAGTCTTCACGTCCCTTGACGATCCAATAGAGTTTGTTTGATTCTCTTTGAGACATCGCCATGGGGTTTTTGCGAAATCCGCTCCTGGGCATGGGCCTAGCCCTCAGCATTGCGTGCGCAAGCCACGCTGATGCTCTGGTGCCGAAGAGAGACACGAATAACACTTCTGGCCAGAATCTCCTCACGAGTGAGTTTGCCGATTTCGTCAAGGATAATATGGACTTTTGGAAGATTCCCGGCATGGCCGTTGCCGTCGTTGACAAGGATGATGTATTCACCCAGGTATGTGCTGTAGAATCAAGACTCGACTCAGAAGTACCCTCGACGACTTATCTAACTGTCATGTCCGGCAGGGGTACGGCTTCTCGGCATTGCCAGACAAGAAAGTTACTCCAGACACGCTGTTTTACGCAGGGTCGACCACCAAGGCCCAGACAGCTGCCTGTCTGTCTATGCTTATCAAAAATGGGTCGTACGATGCGCTGGCTGACGGATGGTCTACCAATATCTCGTCGATTTTGAAGGACGACTTCGTTCTTCAGGATGAATGGGCAACGGACCACATCACTCTCGACGATGCCGTCAGCCACCGCAGCGGACTGCCGCGCCATGACCGTTCTCTGATGCGCGAAAAGAACGGAGTGCCTCTCACCACGGCGGAAATCGTTCGCAATATGAGGAACTTGCCTTATATTCACGAACCACGAGCCGGGTTCTATTACAACAATTACATGTACATCACTCTGTCGTATGTCATCGAGACGGTGACCAAGAAAGGCCTGAAGCAGGTCATGAAGGAAATGATCTGGAACCCGCTCGGAATGAACTCCACGTACTTTGGATTGGAGGACGCCAAAAAGTCGCCCAGGGATCTTGCCAAGGGATACCTTTGGATCAACCAGACTGCGCAAATCGACGGCACTAGGCAAGCCAATCAGACTGGGTACTTCAAAGAGGCTACTTATATGCCCCTGACCGACATGAGCGGAGCGGCTGCCGTCATCTCAAACGTGAGAGACTATGCGCAGTGGATTAGAGGTCTTTTGAACCAAACTCAGGCTTTCCCCAACAACGTGTTGGAGGATATTCGCACCCCAAGGTTTATATCGTGGTCAACTGCCGAGTTTGGCACTGATATGTATCTATATGGTCTGGGCTGGAAACGGTCTCTAGCAAAAGGACACGTGTTTTACCAACACGACGGCAGCATGCTCGGTTTCAAGTCAATAGTCTACTGGTTTCCCAACGATAATTTTGGCTTCGTCATATTTGCAAACTCAGACCGGGCAGAGACGGCCAATAACGTCATTGCCCGAAAGCTCATGTCTACGAAATTAAATATTCCAGAGAAGGATATACTCAATGTCACTAAGAGGTTAGTCAAATCCCCCGTGGTTGTAACAATGATCACTAACTGAGACATGACAGTCGTTCTGGCACAAAGACGTCCGAGCAACTGTTTGAAGATGCGGTGAAGAAGTTCTACCCCAACCACACAATCTCTGATCCGTCCTTCTCCTTCAAAGATATGGAGGGCACGTACGTCGACGCGGGATACGGCACCATGACGCTTCGCTCTGGCCAAGGCCCAAAGAACGAGACAGTTCTCATTGCCGAACGCCCGGATATGTCGTGGGACTATGCGTTTACATTTAGGCACATTTTCGGGGATAATTGGATTGTGGGAGTAGCGTGGAGGGACGACATAACTGATCTTGCTCGCTTCGGTCCCGCCGAATTCGAAAAGGGAACTGATGGAAAGCCGGCGGCCTTGAAGATGACATCGATGGAGGATCCTTCCACCCCGGAAGGCACCATTACTTTCAAGAGGACAGGATAGAGTCATGGGATAAGTCTCGGAGTGTAAATTAATTTTCGTTTTCCGCACACCTGCTGCTCGTCCTTGCGAATCGTTGGCGAAGATGGACCAAAAGCTGCTGCAATGGGACAGTCAAACCGTGTTCATCGCCTTCAAGGCGCAATGGAGCGGCGATGAATTTTTAGAGACATAGACATGTAGAGTACGGCTATTAAACTATATTCTGGCAATTTGATCGAAAACAAGGCGTGACCCCGCGACTTTGAAGTATATCTCGACTCTCGACTCGATCAGAGCCGTGTAAGTCAGTAAGCGCTAAGCCTGATTGGGAACTCCACCTCAGCAGCTGCATGCGCACCCACTTCGTCACGGTGGATGCTGCCATAAATTTTACCTCGCAGGAAACAACCGCTGGACCGTCGTCGCCAACCATAATTCCGAATTTGACGCCAATCTTTCGAGCCCTCTTCCAAAAGCCATCGCTTGCGACACCCCTCTCGAAGGGCGCAACTCATCACCTTCCTTTGCCTCTAATCATTCCTGTGTTTCTGTCATGTTGTTCGAGCTTGTTCTGCGATCGCAAACTGCGGCTACCTTGTGAGACCCCTCCGAGTCTGAGTCTCGACCACGCCGCCAGCACCAGCTCAACGTCAAGGCCAGGCCACGAAAGGCTCATCCTTCTCGCACGGCGCGACACCAAGCGACGCTCTACGACTCGACATGATCCATTCGACAGAGGGTCCTGTCAAGCAGCAGCTTGAGGACAAGCTGCCCAAGCGCTTCAAGGGCATCAAGTTTGGCATTCAGTCGAACCAGGACATTGCCAACCAAGCCGTCCTTGAAGTATCGGACCGACTGCTGTACGACATTGAAAATAACCGAGCTCCATATCGTCATGGGCCTTTAGATCCAAGGCTGGGGACCTCAAGCAAGAGCGGCAAATGCGACACTTGCCATGACTCTCTACAAAACTGTATTGGGCACTTTGGCCATGTCAGATTGCCTCTGCCAGCCTTTCACATTGGCTATTTGAGGTTCATCATGTCCATTCTGCAGGAGATTTGCAAGGATTGTGGAAGAGTGTTACTGGAAGAGCCCGAACGGCGGTCCTTCCTCAAGGAGCTGAGACGGCCGATGGATAACCTCCGACGTACGCAGATTTGCAAAAGAATCAACGAGCAGTGCCGCAAGTCGAGGACTTGCCCTTACTGTGGATCGGTGAATGGCCAGATTCGAAAAATCGGCGTCCTTAAGCTCACGCACGACAAATTTTCCTTTTATAATAAATCTACCGCGGCCAAGAAGGTTCCTCCCGAAAGCAAAGTCAAGTTCGACGACTCCTTCTCTGAAGCAAAGCGCGAGAATCCCGAGCTCGAGAAGCATCTTCGCAAGGCCATGGAGGATCTTAACCCTCTCAGGGTATTGAACCTCTTCAAAATGATAAGCCCAACGGACTGCGAGCTACTTGGGCTTGATCCAGCTGAGGGACGTCCAGAAATGTTCATTTGGCAATTTGTGCCTGCGCCCCCGGTGTGTATTCGACCTTCGGTGGCCCAGGATAATGCAAGCAACGAAGATGATCTCACAACCAAATTGGCTGATATTGTTTGGGTGAGCGGCATGATCCGATCAGCCCTACAAAAAGGCTCTCCCATTCAAACAATCATGGAACAGTGGGAGTACCTGCAGACTCAGATAGCCATGTACGTCAACAGTGATGTTCCAGGTCTGCAGCAGCCAGGATTCGGCAAATCTACCAGAGGTTTCTGCCAGCGGTTGAAGGGAAAACAAGGTCGATTTAGAGGTAATTTGTCCGGAAAGCGAGTCGATTTCTCTGGCCGTACCGTTATTTCGCCCGACCCCAACTTGGGGATCGACCAAGTTGCTGTCCCCCAGCTTGTCGCCAAAAACTTGACATATCCCGAAAAGGTTAATCGGCAAAACATCGAAAAGCTACGCCAATGTGTCCGAAACGGCTGCGATGTGTGGCCTGGAGCCCAGGGAATTCTCAAAAAGGAAGACGACAGCTACTATAAATTCAATCTACGCTTCGGTAATAGAGACTTGGCAGCCAAGCAACTTAGCTACGGCGATATTGTCGAACGCCACCTCGAGGACGGTGACGTGGTGCTATTCAACCGTCAACCTTCACTTCACAAGCTCAGTATTATGAGCCATCTCGCCAAGATTCGACCCTGGAGGACATTTCGCCTCAATGAGTGTGTGTGCAACCCGTACAATGCTGATTTTGATGGTGACGAAATGAACCTTCACGTTCCTCAGACAGAAGAGGCCAGGGCAGAGGCCATTAACCTCATGGGCGTCAAGTACAATCTAGCCACCCCCAAGAACGGAGAACCGATTATTGCTGCAACGCAAGATTTCATCACAGCTGCTTTCCTGCTAAGTAGTAAGGATCGATTCTTCGATCGCAAGTCATTTTCATACATCTGCATGCACATGATGGAGCAGGGAACCAAAATCGAAATACCTCCTCCCGCTATTGTGGCACCAAAGGCCCTGTGGACTGGAAAACAAATCTTCAGCATCATGATGAGACCAAACAAGGATTGTTCCGTCAAGATCAACCTCGACGCAAAGTGTCGAGCATACAAAGCACGCCCTGGCCAATGCCCTGATATGGACCCCAATGATGGCTGGCTGGTTGTTCGCAATTCAGAGGTCATGTGTGGCCGTATGGATAAGTCAACCGTCGGATCTGGGAAGAAGGATTCCATCTTCTATGTTATTCTTCGAGATTTCGGTCCAGACGAGGCAGTTATTGCCATGAATCGGTTGGCCAAGCTTTGTGCCAGAGCGCTCACCAATCGAGGATTTTCTATTGGTGTTGGCGACGTCTTCCCTACAGAGACTCTAAATGTCGAGAAAGAGAACTTGGTATCGACCGCCTACAAGATGTGTGACGATCTTATCGAGACTTTTAAGCAGGGCAAACTAGACAAGGCCCCGGGTTGTAACATGGAGCAGACTCTGGAAAACTCCATCTCTGGTATTCTCAGTAAGGTTCGACAGCAGGCCGGTTCTTACTGTATTGATACTCTGAGCCGAAACAACGCTCCCCTAATCATGGCCCAGTCTGGCTCCAAGGGCTCCGACATTAACGTTGCTCAAATGGTGGCAGTCGTCGGTCAGCAAATTATTGGCGGACAGCGAGTTCCTGATGGATTCCAAGACAGAAGCTTGCCTCATTTCCACAAGAACGCTCGCCAACCCCCTTCCAAAGGCTTCGTCAAGAACAGTTTCTACACGGGCTTGTTTCCCACAGAATTCCTATTCCACGCCATTTCTGGTCGTGAAGGTCTGGTCGATACTGCTGTCAAGACTGCCGAAACTGGCTATATGTCGCGACGACTGATGAAGTCATTGGAGGATTTATCAACTCAATATGATGACACTGTCAGAACGTCAGGAGGTGGCATTGTTCAGTTCCAGTTTGGAGCTGATAAGCTCGACCCTGTCGACATGGAGGGCTCCGCTGAGCCCGTCAACTTTAAGCGAACTTGGAGTCATGCCGAAACACTAACTTGGGATAATGACGAGGCCGCCATGACCCCCAGCGAAATCAGGGCATTTTGTGACTCCATGCTTGCTGTTGAGCGAAAGCGTTTTCCCAGGCACGGTTTAGCGTATGGTGAGAAGCTTGACTATGAAGACACAACGGATTACGGTATCGATGAGCACGAAGGTGCTCGACGCTTCCTAAAGACCATCGAAAACCATGTAGAAGGATTGGCTTCCAAGCTCGAGAAGGTCCGAAAGCTGGCTGGATTTGATGGCGACAAGATGCTCAGGGCCACTGCACAAGATCATGCTGACCGTACTGCCAAGGTGACAGCAACAACGTTGCGGCTCTTTATCAAGATGTGTCTTGAAAAGTACAAGAAAGCCCACGTGGAACCTGGCCATGCTGTCGGAGCCGTTGGTGCCCAGTCCATTGGTGAACCTGGTACGCAGATGACGCTGAAAACTTTCCATTTTGCTGGTGTTGCCGGCATGAGTATCACACAGGGTGTGCCACGTATCAAGGAAATCATCAATGCCTCCAAGAATATCAGTACGCCGGTCATTACATGCCCTCTGATGAACGACAAACAAATCGAGGCCGCAAGAGTCGTCAAAGGCCGTATCGAAAAGACGTACATCTCGGACGTGCTACATTTTGTCGAAGACGAATGGCGTCCTGGTGAAGGCAACGTGGTACTGCAAATTGACCGAAGCGCTCTGTCAGACCTGCACCTGGGCATTGGTATTTACGATATTGCTGAATCCATCTGCAAACAGCGAAAACTCAAGATTCCCCGGGAAGATCTGTCCGTCTACGGTGAGAGGATCGTCATTCGGGTACGAGATGCAAGTGATATGCCCGCCAGAAAGACGACACGTACCAAGCCAGCCCTCGAGGACAGCGGCGACATGTTGCTGCGAGCTAACTTCTTGCGTCGCGCGCTTCCGCACGTCCCCATTTCTGGGTATTCGGAGGCTACTCGTGCCATTATCCAAACATCGGAGCAGAACACGCACACGGTGCTGGTCGAAGGTTATGGATTACGCGAGTGCATGACCACAGAAGGCGTCCTTGGCACCAAGACCCGGTCAAACAACGTCATGGAGTGTCGCGACGTGCTTGGTATCGAAGCCGCACGAACCACCATCGCCGATGAGATCAGCCAGGTTATGGGCGACATGGGCATTGACCCTCGACACATGCAGCTTCTTGCCGATGTCATGACTTACAAGGGAGAGGTGCTAGGTATCACGCGATTTGGTCTATCCAAGATGCGTGACAGTGTATTGCAGTTGGCATCGTTTGAAAAGACGCCGGACCACTTGTTCGAGGCTGCGGCGGGTATGAAGACGGATCAGATTGAGGGTGTAAGTGAGTGTATCATCATGGGACAGACGATGGCCGTGGGCACAGGTGCATTCCAGGTTGTACGACGGCTGGGCATCCGGCCAGGGGACATGGCGCAGAAGAAGACGCTATTCGAGGATGCGTGGAATTCGGAAGTGACGAGGAAGAAAAAGGTGAGGAGGAGGGCATAGCGCGTGTCATGGAAGGATTTGTCAAATGTAAAAAAGCGCTTTAAGTGAATCAAAGTCATGAAGGACAAGTACAGTCTACAGTCTATCCAAAGGCGATGTCTTACAAGACAGCAAGACCGCCAACTCTTGCGCCCGCATCCACTACATGAGGCATCACCTCGTCTCCTCATCCCTCGCCCTCCGCCGTTCTCTTTCCTTGAAAACAACCAACAGTCCCAAATCATAGCAAACCTTTAAGGAACCAGCACACACAAAACTGACCCAGAACAAGTCATGATTTGCCAAGACACCGGTGATGAGGGGCCCCATGCTCTGCGCACTCGTCTTGACGACATTGACCAGCCCCATTACCGCGGTCCGTTCAGAGGGCAAGAGAATGGCTGCCAGGAAGGCGGAGCGGGGAGCCACGTCCATGGATTGCGTGCAGGCGCGGAGGGCCAGCAGTGCGAGGGAGAGGGAGACGTTTGAAGGGAGGGGGATGAGGGCGAGGAAGACGGACGAGGGGAGGTGTGTGAACACCATTGTCTGTCAGTGTCAGCCTGGTCTGGTCTCCCTTTGGCGTTTCTGAAATTGGAAAATTTGCCTCTTGTGTCACGAGCAAGGTGGGATTAGCCCATTGGGGGGAGGGGGGGACAGCGGAGCTCACCTTGACGTTTCCCAGGCGTTTGGAAATGGACGAGGCCACAATGACGGAAGCAGCCGAGATGAGAGACGTGGTGAAGAATATCGAGCCCAGGCGGCCCTCCTCAATGCCGAACCGCGAGCGAAAGTAAAACGTCATCCAGGAACTGGCGCAAAGAAAAAGAGGAAAAAAAAATCAGCACCGGACGAGATTGCAAGACAGCACCAAAGGGGGGGGGGGAACCTACAGGGGCGCCAGGCCGGACGCAAAGGCATCCAGGCCAAACAGCAGGCACAGGGTCACGGCAATGGCCCTGCTCTCGGGCGTGACGTGCGGCACCAACGACGTCCACGTCCTCGTGCCGGCCGGCGCCTCCCCGGCCGCGGGGGCGCGCCCGTTGAGCAGCGGCTCCGTCTCGGCGGCCCCCTCGAGG